GAAGAAGGCAGGTTAAGATTAATATAGTAAGCCGTTTATTAATCTTCACAGTCAGATGCGAAGCTTCAAGCAGGGATACTCCCACGCTCAATCTAACCTTGCGGGCCGCACTGATATATGAAAGACTGCTACCACCGTGCCATTCGCAGTTGCAGCCGGTTCTCGCTAGGTAGAGGTTATCAGCGCCACAGATGGCGGAGACTAGCAATAGACGTTTAAATAGATAGAGTATCCCACCTCTAACAAGCTAGACAACTTAACCTAATAGAACCACTTACCTGTTCAATTCTTATTCGCAATTATTCATCAATATTCATATTATTCGTATTCCTTTCGGAACTCTAAAGACGGCACTCGGCACAGACCATCTGGATACGCTGACTGTACTGTAGTTCGGCCTAGCCAGTTCATTCGCTGCACCCTCCTCCCCTTTCCCCCTCCTTCTTCCTTCTTCCTCTTTCCATGTCAACCTTTCTTACACCAAGACCAAGGTAAGCTCGAGATCCTCCTTATTTAACGACCTTATCCAATTATCCCTCGTGCCTTCCCCCAAGCTATCTATCATGACTAAGATACAGAGCATCAACAATTTGATTCAGCAGAGAAAAGAAACGCGGCTGGTTGAATCTCACAACGATCTCGCGCCCAATGTTTCCACAGTTCACGCCGAGCATTCAACAAATCCCACTGGCGAACTCTCTTTCGCCACTAAGGCGGCCGAGTCTGATGAACCAAAGAACGCCCAAGCAGCAACGCAGGAAACTTCAAATCAAATTCGACAGGAACGATCCGTGGAAATCGATCGCTCAGTGGCAGCTGAGATAGTGAACCGGTCCAAGATGCCCCAATATCCAGGCCTCGACCGTTGGATCCTAGTGGAAAAATTGGGATACGGTGCATTCAGCAATGTATATCGCGCGCGAGATTCAACAACGGAGTTTGGCGAAGTGGCAATTAAAGTATTGAGATCATTCCAGATGGACATTAATCAGGTAACATTACCGGCTCGTCTTACTTCCTGATTGTTCCCTTACTCGTGGCTTTGGGTGCATGGTCTAGTCGACAAAAAAGATCATGGGCTTTGGTCATAGCAATCCACCTTGAATTTCAGGGTGAAAGAGTTCTCAAGGGGTTCGGGATGTGCTTGAACTGACTCGGACTATACCCAACCTAATATGGTAGTGATGACTCATGCTGCTTTCTTGTAGCCTCATATCCTTGAAGCTCATTTCTTAACCATCAATTTGTTTTAGCGCGCCAAGATTCTCAACGAGGTCCAGATAATGCGCAACATCGACCATCCCAACATAGTTAAGTTGATCGACTTCTTCGAAAGCCAACAATTTTGCTACATCATTCTCGAACTGTGTACTGGAGGAGAATTGCTTCCTCAAATAGTGCGATTGACCTATTTCAGCGAGGACCTCAGCAAGCATGTAATTGTACAGGTTGCCAAAGCCATCGAATACCTCCACGAGACGTCAGGTGTCGTTCACCGGTATGTACCAGTTCCAAGTTCGCGGTTAAACACAACTGAGAGTCCTTCTAGTGATATAAAACCTGAAAACATTCTTTTCCTCCCGGCTCCTTTCACTCCGAGCAAGAATCCGAAACCTCAGCAGCCCGGCGATGAGGACAAGGAAGATGAAGGCGAGTTCACTTCAAACTTCGGCTCAGGTGGTATCGGAGAAATCAAGATCGCCGACTTTGGTCTTTCGAAAGTTATCTGGGACACTCGAACTGGGACCCCTTGTGGAACTGTCGGTTACACTGCACCTGAGATCGTCAACGATGAGCAGTATTCAAAGGGTGTAGATATGTGGGCAATGGGATGCGTCCTCTACACTTTGCTTTGTGGATTCCCTCCGTTTCGTGATGAGAGCATCCAGATACTCACCAAAAAGATAGTCTGCGGCCAGTTCATGTTCCTGTCGCCTTGGTGGGACCATATCTCAAAGTCAGCCCAGGACTTGGTTTCTCATCTGCTAGTTGTTGATCCTATGAAGCGGTACAACATCAAGGAGTTTATGGAACACCCATGGATCCGTCAAGCTGACGAAGAAACCATTTTCACTGTCGGCCTGTCCCCACTGGACCAGCGTTATGGACCAATGAGTCAAACTTACCCGCAACCGCTCAAAGACGTCGTTGCTGATCAAGGTCCATGCCAGCCTGTTAGCGCCCACATATTGAGTGTTCCTTCAACATAATAGGAGCATGGACTTCCGTTTATCGGACGCTCTCACCCTGTGTGAAGGCCTCGATGTCTGCTAGGTTGTATATAGGCAACAGCCAAATGATAAGCATCGCCGACACTTACTTATCAGAACATTTCTTGCTGCCTTTTGTCCGGATCACAGTCTGCGCTCCCTGAGGATTACGATGACAGTTTGGGTGCTCACCCGCGGAACGGAGTTTCAAATCAGCTACATAGACACAAAAATATATTCAGGCTCAGCGGCTAAGCCGAAAAGACAACCATCACTAGTCTACCAATGCATGTCCTATTATATGCCGTGTCTCCTTAGCCACATACATAGTTACTTTCAGTATATGTCATCCCAGCTTTCAGTATTGTAGCGGTCCTTGTGGGCTAGTAACTTTGGTAGCAGACTGACTTTAAGGCGCCTCTTCGAGTGTTTAACATCCTATTATCGATAGTCGTAGCGTGTATACCGTCCCTGGCATAAGGTGATCGGGGTGGGTTAGTTTGGGAGGAGGGGTTCGTTTGTGCTGGTCGACATGGTCAAGCAGCGTCGAGTCGGTCCCTGGCGATTGCGAACCGTATTGAGGCTTGCACTGCTTCCAAGTTCGGCTTCCAAGTCTGATCATCGGACCGCGATGTTTCCGCCCAGGAATAAAGATATGTTGCCTCGGTGGGTGTAACTCAATTTGAGTTAGGACTATTTAGAATCCACTTTAGAAAGTTCAATCATTGTGTAATTCTAGAAGCTGGTATTCTCAAATTAACATTTCTGCCCTCCTGAGCATTCTAAAAAATCAGTCTATCATTGGATCACTTGAGACCGCGTATATATAAAGGCATCAGCGAGCTGCTCAGTTACGGTATTAAAGAGAGTGCAGCAACAAGATCCAGATCATAGTTGGACCAGTAGGAGAAGTTTCGCTGATCTTCCTTAGCTCGTCTCGGCCGAAAATGACAGCCACCGGCATAACTTAGAGAAGACCGAAATAGTTGGTAGTTCGTTAAAGTCAGGCTGAATACGAGGTCCTGGGACCTCTTCGCAGTGTTGAAGAATGGTCGAGGGGAGAATATTGATGGTCTTACCTCTACCGCTGAAGGTTTCGTGTGAGGTGTTGCTGCTACCCAGGAGCTTCTTAATTCGCGTACGTCCTGTCGCAGCGGCGCTATTATATAGGCAGTGCTCATCGTTATAAAACTCAGCCCACAGGCCCACATCGGCATGTTTCGCATCTATCGCAATACATTGTACAACTTCATCATTGAAGTGAACATGGCGTCTTTCTTTTGTTGCTACCTTTCCGCGAGATAAAGGTGCAGCGAGACTACCTATTTCCGGGTATGTCAGTTCTCTTGTCCGATGATGAAGTTGTACTAGGCCTGTGCTGCACATTCGAGAGAGGGGTTGACCGAAGTAATGCTCAGCCTCTGGAAGTAAAACCTGCTGGGACTCTGACCGTTGAAACATTAATTTCACAACAGACTTTCTTTTAAGAATGGACCTCTGGCGTATAGAGAAGTTTGGGATCCGTAGGCGAGCCGAAGTGGTAGAGGAAATAGCGGTCGCACGATTGTCAGGGATCTTCAACGGTCCGTAGAGCCAGGTGGTATCTCTATCCTTAACCCTATACTGATAATCAATGAATGGAAAATGGGGAAAAGATCAAAAAGGTTGTTCAGAGAATAAGGAAAACGCACCAGTGTAGGCTCTCCGGTGATATAGTCCCGAGGTTGCCTCTTGTTTTGGCCCATGTTCTCCAAGATGCGTTCTCCAGTCTAACTCCGTTACTATACTTGCTCCTCCATCTGATCACATAGCGCCAGGATGACCAGATATCATCCTCTCTCCAGTCATGAGAGAGATAGTCCACATGTCTGGATGGCTCGTCCTCAAGTGAAGTGTTATCTGCAGCTGGCGCTTGTGAGGTCCAGGGCACTGAGCGCAACTCCGTCGACGCGCCATTTTCAAGTTCTTTCTGTTTCTGTGCACGGGCCAAGGGTCCGACATTATAGTAGTGCAAAGCCAATTTACCGTCTTTCAGGTGTAGGTTACTCCGAATGTCAGGAGCGGAGATTTGATCGATGGCAGAGGAACTGCAGTGAGGACGCCGCAGGATTGAGCAGAGGGTGGATGCGACCACATTCGAACTTGCCCTTTTTCGAAAACCATCTTGCGAGGGTGAAGTTCTTGGAATCGGGTAATCTACCAAGTATCCTTGCGCCATCGGACCCATTAGAGAACCTGCGTGGTAGGGAGAGGGGGATGTTGACTGTTTTTCGCGTGGTGGGGGAGGGAGAGTTTTCCCTAGCACACAACACTTCCAAGTTCTCACACCAGGTGACGTAGCGGGTACTATTCTTCTCATTTGTCAGGAGCAAATGTAGGCTTATACCGATTGGGACGAACTATTTCTCATTTCTTGGCTTTCTAACGTATGAGACGTTTTAACAGTGGATGGTTGATAAGGCTCTCAAACACTCTGAATCCCGAGTCTTCCTTACCTATTAAGCATCGGCAACCGAATTTATCTGCTGGCGCAACTACCCACGATCCACTGGTGACTATCCATACGCCGAGGCCCTTTTTGTCAAATTGCGTGCCCTAGAAGCGTAATGAGCCATCGAAGTTTAGATAAGGACCTACGGTGTGGTTGTCGGTCGGATCAAGCAAGTACGTATTAGTAATAGTTAGATGTCAAATCAGTGCACCAGAATCTTTGTGAGGTATAACACCAAGACCGCGTCTCTCCCTAGAGTCGCAGTAGCTGGTGGCAACATCATGTCAAAAAGAACAGTCTCAGCCCCTGTCTGAATATACAGAGATTGCCCTGATGACTGGCCGCCTAGTATTCTCGGAATCAAAAACCTGAGCATGATCCAAATGTTCATACCACAGCAGCTCAAGCCCGTGACCAATCCATGACCTGTTTTTCCATGCTCGTGTTACTTCTTTTTCTGATGTCCGGGCTTCAGACGATGAACCCATCAAGTACTGCCCCACTGTTTCGGCATTCACGATCAAAATACTTGCCACTTAAAACAACTGTTACATTTCTACCCCCCCTCTTGGTTCTCTTCGGCCTTTATCCCGAGGTCCTCCTTCCAAATAATGTTGTCAATCCAGGAAAACCTCTTCGCCAGCGTATGCGCAACTCCTATATCTTTACTTCCGAAATACCAAAGCTGGTATTCATTGGCCCGCGATGGTTGGCGGGCTATGAAGTTGTATGCCACGTCAGGCAGATGGAGGAGGAATGAGACAGGATCGATGAAGACCGTAGGTCCGATTAACTGAGTAAATTGATCGGACTTTAGAAGGTGTGCAGCGACGATGGAGCCATAAGAGTGAGACACAAGCACGAATCTGCACCACCCATGATACCGCATGATCTTCATGATCTCACATATCATCACATCCTTCTCTAAAGCCGGATGAGTTAAACGAGAGCTTACTGGCATGATCTCAAGTGCGATAATGCCAACCTCACTATCTTCAGTTGCTCCTGTCTTCATCTCCCTGCTGAGGTCTCGGAGAAAGCTCGTGTAAGGGTAGAGGCCAATTCCAATTCCATGTATAAATAGTACGGGAAGCCTTTTCTTAGATGTATGCCGTCGATGCCAGTATGTGAGATGCCGCGCCGGTGATTGGTAAACCGTGAGTATCGTAAGAGGGCGAAATGGAAAGACGGTGAAGAACCGCGAGAGTATGCTGCGATGGAAGTGGAATCCATTGTATAACATCTTGCAGTACATTATTGTGTCAACCACAAAAACGCACTAAGTAAACGGGATTGTTAGCCTGTTAGGGCTCTATCACACATAGAGAGAAGATGGAGAGCTGACAGTGTACCACAAAAGACTACGTGGTGAACCGCCTGCTTCATTTAAAAGCCGCCCAAGGCCTTTCACATCTGTTCTTCCCAGTGACAGTTTTCGACCAATTAGCTTCTCTGTTTCTGCTGTATAGGCCTCGACTTCCGCTTCATTTTGTGGGTCCTGCTCCTCCGTGCATCCCGGTCTGAAGAATGCCCATCTGATAAAGTCTTTCACGTTATCGCGCTTGATGTATTCCGCTTCTGAGACCATAAGCCACCGGCTCAGATATTTCTCTACATTTGGCACATTCGCGTTGCAAGTTTGGAACAATCTCTTTCTGCACTCTGCGGGTAAAGATCTATTGCAGATGGGAGAATGATGGAGAGCGTATTTGAGTGGTATGAAGACAGTTGCGAAAAAGGCTGCCTCCGCAGTGAGCCAGACATGGATAGGGTGGGGCGTGCATTCGAGACAGAATGGCAAGTGAAGACATTGATTCGTAAGTAAATGAATGCTGTATAAAACACTGATTGGTACAATGTTGCGAAGAAATAGGATGCAAATCCGAATAAAGAGATACTCAATAGTAGATGTTCCGATCATACTGACTTTGAATACTCTTAACAATAACATTCGTATAATGAGTAATTTGGTAGAGTGGAAATGAAGACGGACGTGGACCAGGGTATTTATGAGTCGAATATTTATTGGTCAGAGTTTTACATAAGATGTAGCCTCGTCGCCCCTGCTCACGCCCAACAAAATATTTGTGGACCCGAAACCCTTTTCTGTTGAATTTAGGAAACAGCACATACTGGCATGTGATTGCATATATATGACGTAACATAAGTCCAGACTCGGAGTCCCGTTGTCTTAGCCAATAGAAGACACGATCTTTATCTTTTTATGCTATTAATTCAACTGAACGATATGTTGGAGATTGCAGCTGCGTGTTATATCGGTATCACGGCAAGCCGATGGCATGATACTCCAACACTATCAACTCGTATTGCAGTTAACGAATCCTTTTTTCCCATATTATCTGAGCCCCTGCCATGGCTAAATGGAACCGTGGATAAAAGCTCTAGTGTCTCTGATAGTTTTGGGTTAGCCGACGTGGGACCATGCAGGTCAACGGCCATTTTTGTTTTCCACTCGTGAACCCGTGGTTCGAAGCCACCAAATAATATCGCAGGTGTGATCATAGTAATAGGTGTAAGCTAAGAAGCAAAAGTTGCGAAGCATTCCAGGTGACCCTTTGACTACGACACATAAGCCTCTCAAAACGCAGGCTTGGGCCGGGTTTTCTTTTTTGAATATCCACCCACAGGTATGTAACCAGGTAATTAATTACGGGCACTGACTAAGGTCTGGCTGTTTCGTGTATCATGTCACCCAATGTCATCAGGACCAAAAACAAGACACTTTGCCGCTCAAGTCATTTTTGGTAACTTCATTAACAAGAATGAGCAGTCTTACTCGGGGTTTTGTCCTTGATATATACACTCTGGCTATGAGGGTCTGACGTATACCTACGTAGATAGTGTCTGGAGATGAATCAGCAATATTTACGAGCAACTATAGTTGACTCTAGATTCAAGACGTAGGGCGAGAAGCAAAAGAATAGTAGCTTACTGGTGCTGTCATATAAGGCCGGTTCATATCAGGTACCTAACCGCGACCTCGGAATTAATCTTGAGGCGTCTATACGAAGATCAAGTTGATTTCCAATCACCTTGACCTTCTCATTATATGTATAGCTTCAGTTATTTATTCCCTTGGTACAAGAATAATCAATTAATACCTCTGAAATACAACACCACTGATGCACGAGCTGGAGGATGTTCATCTTTGGATCGTCCCGTCCCGGCATTTCCGGAATTGCGGCCTTTGCCCAGAAAATCGAGCATTGTTGAATAATTACTTGAATTTTTCAAGCTGTTATAAATTGGGAATAGTTTACGAAGTTATTTAAAAGAATTGGCTTCACCTCAGACTAGAATCGAGAGCCAAAAGTAGCGTTTTGATGCATCTGTTTCCTTTTAGAGTCGCCGATCCAGAAAAAGCTTTACTCCGAGTTCCATTGAAATAAATGCCCGCCCTGTGCAAGTTCTTACTGGCTACTGTTTCACAGAGGAGTTCCAAGTTGAGCCTCCTACGGTTTTCCACCAAGGAGACGTGCTAGATTTTGAAGGAGGCAAATACCCGGTTTGGTACTAGTTTGTAATAGTGCTACTTTGGTGGTTGAACCGACTGTTTAATAGTGGCTGTTTGGGTTGAAATACTCGATTGACGTCCTATTTTATACTCTTTTCGCTGTTACTAGACTGTAGTATAATAGAATACTAAGGTGGAGAGCTTTTTCTAGCCACCAATTTATGCACTCTTACAGAAACTGTTTGTTTGGTTCCAAAGTTATCTGGACAGAACATCGCGCAGCTTGGTTTCAAAAAGGACGTTGTCTTCAGCCCTTAACTTACATACCCCAGCACACAATAAAGCGAAAAGTTTGAATAAACAGGTTACTTGAATATTGAAAGACTTGCACTTTCTGTCGCTAGCCATTAAAAGTCATCGAAAAGCGCCCCGCCTTCCTGTGGGAGTTTGATCCCCGCTTTTCCTGCACTGGAGTGTACTCGCATAAGCACCTCTTTAGCAAGAAGGCAGCAGTTTGAAGATGACCTTATAGCAGCACATAGCGTAATGAAGGCAGCACAACTAGTGGTGTTGTGCAAATCATCTAGCAATGAGAATAATGATATACTGATCCAGTGTAGACAAGCAGGTGTCGTACGTCGAAGCCGCCAGTGTGAGCGGTGGTTACTAATAAGCTCAGTGACATTATATGCAGATTGTATACATATACATCTTGCGTTAGATGCGGTAGCCATTGAAGCTTCGTCAGATCCTAATGGGGCTTTCAGAAAGCGAAAAAGAGTCATGACTATCGAGTAGTAGTATATGCTGAATAGAGTTAGAAAGGGTAGCTGGAGTGAAAGGAAGAGCTCACTGGAGATAGAGAATTCCTGGAACCGAACCGTCTTGAACGGCTATGCATGCTGGTATTGTTCCATGCCAACAAACTAGACGGCCATGTAGCTCCTCGGCTCTGATTTGCAGAAGGGATCCCCCAAGAGGGATATCCCCGAATAGTGCATCAGCCACATCCCAGCTAATCAGGGCCAAAAAGGACATTTGATTAAATATACAGTTCGTATGCACTTGGCATGATGGGGACTGAAGAGGATAAGGGCACCATGTGTCTGTCATGTGATGTTCGTATGGCAAAGGATCTCTCAAAGGCTTCTTCATTGTCGGTGATTTGTGCCACGATAAAGAACTGACCCTGAGTAGTGTCAGGAGTCTTTCGGTTGTGATTTGTGCAGGGATAGACTTACATCGTGCTATTAAATAAACCCCAGGTTATAGTATCCAACACCCGTGCCTTATCCGTATCAAAATTAATTGAGACGGCATCAGCAACTGTTAATTGATAGGCACCATCTGTAGCTCGTAATAAGTATGTCCAACTCAGTTCATCCTTTCCCATGAAACTGGCACTGTCAATAGAAAATAGAAGAAAGTCAGAAACATACCTGGCGTAGAACCTGACTAGGAGTAAATAATACGTGTAGCTTACGTTGTGTATAATATACCAATAGCCTGCACAGTAGTTAGAGATATCCTACTGCCCTCCTCGTCTAATAAACGATTGGCCTCGTCAAAAAAATGGCCGCCTTTGGAACGGGACTCCCCAGGAACCGCCAAACTTTGGCTATAGTTAGAGGAGAACTAAAACATGGTTAGTGAGCTACCCATATATAGTTCTGAGCAAAGCTTGAAGGCAAAAGGGTGCTGAGCATACGCAAGCTTCTGCAAGCATCGCATTGACAAGCAATGGAGAGCAATAGATGCAGCTTTGATTCCCCGCTTGCATATCGCTCAAAAAAAGCTGTTTTACTATCCAGGTTGAACATGATGGATGATGCCACGTAAACCAAAGGGAAACAAGATGGGATACGAAATCTTCGTCGTGGGTGATGTTCGTCCATGGGTGTGTCGGGACTTGAAGAACAGGTATGTCTGACAGCCATTCAATATCTAATGCTTTGTGGCGACTCTTGGCCGTTGTCATCTCTTTTTCTTCTGCCTGGGAGTGCAATTTCTCAACTACTGAGCAATCCTCGGATAGAGATGTTTCGGTGAGCTTTTCAGCGACAAGGATCCTAATTTCGCTAAGGGAGGCATCACTGCGCACGAGGGCAAGTAGGTCAGAAATCCTCTCTCTTTTACCGTCCCGAAGAGTCTTGAGAACCTTGCTGAAGAGATCGCTGTCATGTTGTAACAAGTCTATCTTGCGTTTGAGAAACAGCTTCCGCCGCTCGTCGGTGTCCATATCGATAGCGCACTCTGTTTTGTGGTTGCGGCATCGCTTACAGGGTGCTACTCCAGAGCACTAATATTTTGATCAGCAAGCAGCATGATATCGTTGCAGTGGTACACTACTTTTGCCTTCATCTTCTGGCATTCCGTGCACGCACGTGATACCTTTGTTATTCCTGAAGTTTTGTTGACAAACAGTTCTGAACGAATTTGCCCTTCGGGAAGCGGGGCGAGCGACTGCGAGCCTTTATTATTAGTCATCGTGATTTTATGATCAAAATGAAGTGGAAGACTTTTCTCCCTCTTTTAACCTATTTGTTGATAAAGCCGATGTGGGTCAGAACGGCAGACTGACTGGCAGGGACCCGGTGTGGGCGGTTAGGTCTTGCTGAAAACCTGAAATATTGCAAGCCATCCACTATGTGGCTGAATTCATGCACCGAGCAGTCTGGGCCCCTTGGCCAATTTCGACACGTCAAATACGAGGAAGTCGGTGCAAATATTACATCGCTCGAGGAAGTGAACGAGGGGCATTACGAGGCGAAGACGATGCGTATAGGGAAGCTTACCACGGAGAGGCAACCAAAAGAGGTTGTCAATTCCGACGAATCGGAACAAAGGAAGCATGGTCGAAGGAATAATGCCGTGTTACAACGGCATGCCAGCATTGATGGGACGAGGGCAGCCGTGGTGAGATTTGCCCGTCGGGGGGGCGGTACGTGGACGAAGGCTGATTATTCGCACGTGGGGTGGTTTTTGTTGGGTGATTTACCTACTTTTGTTCAGCGATATGCTGTATCTCCTTCATTCTTGTTTCCGCTGAAAGAAACGCCCACATCGCCACTGCGTTTAAAGCTAGGCTGCATTCGGTTAATAGAATCTTGAATTGAATTGAATTGAATTGACCTGAAACCTGGAATATCCCCCTTTCAATTTCCAGTCAGATACATTACAGAGACAAAAATGAATAGTGGTATGGAAAATGCCACAGGACTTTATTTATTGGTAGATCTAGGCCAATCTACAAGGAGACGGGGATCCCAGTTCTCCCGTGTTTCCGGCAAAATATCCATACAGCATCGCCATTCTCGGCAGACTTGCAGGAAACAACTGTGACCGTTAAACAAGCAGCGACTGTTTGAGTCTGTCCTCAAGAATTCGTGGGATTCGCCAAATCTATAACTAGAGAAAGCCACGCCAAAGTGACCCTCTTTAAGTCGCTATTATGAATAAATTAAGTACCAATCTAAAATATGATTAAATTTCTAGCTACACATAGCCTTCTGGTCTTCGCTGTGGATCCTTTCCCCACAGTAGCGATGGGCTATCGCAAACTTCCATTCCCTGATCACTTTGAAAGGGAAAAGAAACACCAACATCAACAATAGGACACCGGTCAGACATCCAATCGAAGTACTGAGCCAGTAGCAACATGCGAATAACAGGGCACTCGAATATTTCCCTCAGAATCGGAGGCCGCGAGGTTGACTTGCATACAGTTCAGGAGAATCGAGAAAAAAGCAAATGCAGATATCATGGGGCCTTGAATTCTTGCGAATTACGCTCGATACTGATTGTTCATACTTTTATAATGGCTTTTTCCGAAGAGAACGGGCGCGTAATAGTTCAGTCGGGTCAATCGGATCTCTCCGTAATGATATCGTCCCGACACTTCGTTATCCGTGATGTCCTTGAAATTATCAGTGAACTGGCAGAACCGACGCCAGGTCACCTCTGTAGGGACCAGGAAGAGAGCCGGGTCTTGTGCAATTCTTAGATCTGATTCATACTGGATCAGGTAGAAATACGTTCGCAGATACCCGAGTGCGGCCTTTCTGAGTCGCCGCCGCACCATATTTAGACGGATCGCCCTCAACGTATCCCAGAATACGTAGGACGTTATGTACTGGGGAAGGGGCTTAAGAAAGATTCGGTCGTCGATTCAGATAAGATGCAGCCTAGGATCCTCGGTAACGATGATCTGTCGGCCTTTTATTCGCTGTCGATGCAACGGAGAGATATTGCTGCTATCCTGCTTCGACATCCACCAGAGTCTGCCCGATATCGACTCGAGGTCCTCTGACCGGACTTCCTGGCGAGTGAATTTAAACAAACCTTTATCATCGATCATTCTGATCCGGGGATGACCTGGCAGATAATCAAGCGATGCATCGAGATCATCATTGAGCTGATCGTCTTTGTGGAAGGGACATGGCAAAGAAGAGGTTTCTGCTTGAGTTGACATTTTCTAAAAGTGCCAGATTTAGAATACGCTTAAGCTTAAGATGATGCTAAATGCTGAGAAATAATTAAAAAGATTGTTTTCCTTGATGAAATCTGTCGTTAAAGGTGGGGTTTACGTTTAACCTTGTGAGAGCTTGCGGGAGCCCGACATGCCTGCTCAACCTGTGCCCGGTATGCCGTTTTCAGAGGACTAAGGACACCCACATCACACGGCTGCAGTTTGTGAGACGTATGAGAAGGGAGATGACATAGGATAATACGGGGTTCGCAAAGCAGAATTTCATAACCTCCAGAGACTCATGGGTGCCGAAACCATCGCAGATTAAGAGTCGTGGCCGACCGCCCGCTCGGTCTCGAGTCTGCAGATCAAACACATGTTCCACTCAGTACAGACTGATGTCTGTGTTCGTGTAGCCCGTTTTAAATGCCACCCGGGGGTGGCGTGAGTAGTCCACGAACTGCGATGGGTGGCCGCCGGCCAGATAATGTAATGAGAGAATGCAGGAATCGATCATTGGCGGAGATACATTCATCGCCGTGACTAGCGTCCCCTTCACCGTGGTTCCTCGATGCTTTCTCAAATCATCCTTGCTGACGAGCACTTTGAGGGAGTTGAGAACGCGAGTTGAGAACGCTGAGAAGAACTCCTGTCTCGTCCATATTATACACATTCTCCGGGAGAAAGGCCGGATCGGCCAGCTTTCGGCCAATGATGGCAAACCAGTGTCGGACTTTGTCTCTTTGATCTGCCGGCCATCTCGCTTCCAATCGATCGCTCGCAGTCGTCGTTCTTTAACTGCGGGCGTCGTCGGTAAAAACCCCGCGGTCAATTCTTTCCCGGAGGTCGGACTTTAAGGCTGGAGTCTGTGGTCTGGAAAATTGAGGATCCTTGGCGCACGATGACCAGGGCGAGCGATCGTAGAAACTTGGCTGGAAGCGGGTAGCCGTTGTCTGCCAACCGCAACACATACTCTTCTAGGGCTTGTTCCTCTTGCGGGGTGAGATACTGCTGATCGGCCGCTTTATCGGCAATAGATGGCTTGTTGTTTGCCCATCGCCACAAGGTGGACGCGGGGATCCCGGTCGATCTCGATTAAATTTCGTATGATGTGCGCTCATGACATTGATGGGTAGGAGACATTGTGGGAATTTTTAGTACAGTATCCTGTGAGGCATCTCCTACTTGAAATGGATCCATTCAGGCCATGAAAGAGCATAGGAGTATGAATACAGCGAATTACGTGAATAGCACCTAGTGGATTCCAGAACACGTTATGTATGCTCAATTGGTACTTGAATCTTCCTGGACTGGCTTTAGATGAGGTGTCAGGATGGGGAATTAATGTACTAGCTAGTACTAAACATATCCAATAGAATCAGATGATTGATTGAAGGTGTTGAGATCGGTTACGATGGATAAGCCGATCCCGAAGGGTCCTAGTGGTATCCTACCACTTCTTCAGTTCGTCATGAAGTTCTATGAACCAAATTTCACCGGCCAGACTCAACGATTCCATCGAAAATCTGAGGAGACCAAGCGGCATTGGATCTCCATATGAAGCTTCACAGCCCTGTCAATAACGATATCCGGAAAGTGCTGAAATCAACCCTGGAATCTTTATGACAGTTATTGTATTTGCTAGACTCAAATAATTGCTACCAGTTTAACAGCCATATTTGATCCTTACAAGTCGGTCGGCAATGGTGATGCTGTATCAATAATTAGCCCAAAACCCCTCGTTTTCGAACGTTAAACAGCAAGAAAGGATTTGGATACTATGATCTGAGCATGGGTTTCATTTATACAGCAATTATGAAAACAAAAACATGCATGACGCTTAATATCAACAACCTTTCAACTACAGCATGGGCAAAGGAACTACAGTAATTGGATTTGGTCAGATAGCACGTGCTTTGACCGTTGAACACTAAAAGAATTTGAATATTCTCAGTCGAGCAAAAGTAAACAGTGTTACATGTAGCAAAATTGATGGTGCAATTATGATGATAAGAAAACATTATTTCTGACCGTTAACCGCGGTTAAGCTAGAATAGAACGGGCAAATTTCACCATTTGGCATTTTTCACCAGGAGTGTTTTACAAGATATTTCAGTTAAATGGTCGTTTTGGGTAGGACTCGCATCTGCTACCTTGAAATGGGCATCGGTCACGTGGAATTTAGGGCCAAAGCGATCCCCCAAGGAACAGGAATCTTTTTTTTTTCATCTCGCTCTAGATGTGGTCTCACGTACCACTGTTCTCTCACAAGGCGCTAAGTCTAAAACAGCTAGCTTTGAGCTAAACCGAAGCAAGCTTAGTTTCAATCAATGCATGTGATGTTAGGGGCAGGGGCACGGAGGATGTCACAAGGCATTAAGTGAAGTGAAGGTTATTGTAATTAGCTTTTATGCGAAAATAGCCGTTCTAACAATAGACGAAGATAATATGTCGCTTGAATACTCTCTTTATCAATAAATTATTTGGGAGAAAGTTGCATTTGGTACACAGCAGTATCTACAAAATGATGATTGTAGGCGCATGCTTATACCCCGCACGTGTTGACTGTTTCAGCCTCGCCGGCAAGGCTGACATGACCATCCACCAACAGACTGTTACGCAAATCTGCTCTCATCCAATTAGTCTGCCACCAAGCATGAGTACAGATTACAATGGGAAGTCAGCGAAAGTAACACGTCTTCCGGGTGACAGGCCTGTCAAGGGAACGGCCCGATCGGGATCTCAAGACCACATTACAAGAGGCACTCAACGACAACTTCAGCGACGACGAGAGATCACATATCAAGGCCGAGATTGTTATCGTCCCTTCATGCTATGAAAGTGACGCACAGAGGGCGGCGTTGGTGCAATTTCGCGGTAGGGTGCCTCAGTTCCTTCATGAGCTGAAAGTTTGAAAAACAACCAACCACGTTGCTAAATGACTGATATGAAGATAACCAATTTCCCACAAACTATGCTATGCTCAATGCAGCCGCAAGCCTGGTCAAATGCCCCCTTCACAATGTCAGCACGGAGGGGCAAGGACTCGCCAGCAGAAGCATGCCCCATGAGGGTCATGATTCCCCAATGATAGTCCAAAAGATGCAAGGCCGGTTTTAATACCAGATGTAGAAGAAGGCTTGTTGACTCCAGCCGTAGCTGCTGATGTGACCAACGCGCCTCGGGAACGACGTGCTGCAGCACGCATCCGATGGACCCGCAGGCCGGTCAAGACCGCCAGGTGTGTTGACTTCGGCGGACATGCCCAAAATGTCGGAAGGATCGGTTCACCGTATCCATTCGAGGGTCAGTAGGTGGGAATTTTTTGAAGAGTAAACGAATACTCAGTAAATGACTCGGAAAACCACGCCGGTTGGGTGAGATCTGCCATTCCGATACGGTACAACCGAATTCCCGGTGCTAGAATCAACTCGCGCGTCGCTTAAGTTAGGCCGCTTTCACTAGGCCAAAAGGATAATTCTAACGTGACGCCTAATTCTTGCCTACCTATGTCACATAATTCCCAACTTATCATAGCAGCTGCCATACCCAGGCCGACGGTTTTAGCTCCAGCAGCGTCCTTCATACGGACATATCAAGTGATAATAATACTAAAAGAGATTGAATATGAAGCTTTTATCGTTGATATTGTTTTCTGGTGGTTCTTTTCGTATTCTATTTCCAATAATATACGTATTGTAACGACGCGGATCCCGAGATACAGTACAGCACGGAGGAGTGTCTTATCGGCACTCGCGGCCATGAGACCAAGCTATCTATTAGGTTGACTTCTAGAGCAGCGGAAATGTTTTAGAAAACGGAAAGTGGGGATAAATATTCAAGATTTCAGGAAGAAAGAAGTGAACGTACACCTTGGGCCCAGTGTTCAAAAAGCACGCTCAAAATAATTCCGTGAAATTCACTCTCCAAGCAAGCTCTGCCGATCCCCTGGATGCAACAAACTCTGAATTGGACGCAAGTATCTGAGTTTTTGGTACTACCCTCTCCGCTGCCTCTCGAATAGCCTCTTGAATAGTTTGATCCGTGATCCCCGTCATGATAACCAGGAGCTCATCAGGAACGAGTTGGCCTGTGTACCAAGGCCACATGAACTGATACACAAATTCTAATACACGCGATGCAAGCTCATCGGCATTCGAATTGGCGCCCAGCTCAAAAGAAGCTTTCACATGGGGGTCAGAAGCCCCATAATCCACATCCACTGCTGTCTGTAAGCGCGTCGTGTGCAATAGGATGGCTTGATCGGTATATTGAACCAAGAGAGTTTCGTAAATCGGTAGATGGACCCCTTCATCTTTGCATCGATCCTTGTCTTCGGAGTGCTCGCATAATCCTAGCCCATGTCCCGCAAAAGCGGCGTAAACTTCCCATGGATGGACATTGTAGAAGCCCGTTAGTTTTGGAAGGCTTAGGTACTCCGCCACGTCGTTAATGTCTTCTTTGTAAAGAGCAGTAATCCCTGGATAGCTTATTATGACATATGGGAGAAAGGCGGATTCGCATAGAGCAAGGAGTTTCTTGACTAACTCGCTTATAACTTGGACGTCTGGAGACGCCGCCAAGCCCATCTTTTTGCGTAAAGATCGCCATCCTTGTCGTGGTGTGTCGCTCCACATGTCATCCCACGAAGCGTAAGGTGGACTGTTCAGATTAATATGGTGGATTTGTATTTTGGGAGAGGGTTCGCTTTGGAAAGTTACCTAGGGTGGGATGCTGCATGCGACGAGAGTCGCTTTATCATTTCGAGGTAGCTGGAGTCTCCCTCAATTCGACCAACATCCTCGAATGAACCATCGGGATGACGAAGGGATATGGTTCTGCAGTAAACCTGTGAGCGCGATTTCATCGTCGTCAGATTAGGTATCAGGATACCCGTATGAAGCTGTGAGAGAAATGCCTATTGATGGTTTCGATAAAGTTGTCCGATCCATCTCGTATGGTAGGTTTGAATGCCAAAAGTAGTAGATCAAAATAAATGCCAGCCCTGCGATAAGGTATTTTGAAAGCATTTTTGTGCACGTTCGAGTTTGGGCAATCGAAGGATTGCGGGGTTGTTTTTGGAGCATCCGGTTTTCCAAGGAACAGGAGGTACTGCTTAGTACTGGTTGCTGACAAACACGTCCCACTTCGAGTGGACAAATGGTAGAGTAGGAAAATTTCGGTGTCATATGCAGTAACATTACCCGTGGGCCAGATGCGACCAGCAGCATTAATAAAACGATTGTTGTGGAAATAGGCAGCGACAAGTTATCTCAGAGGCGCGATCTGCATCCATTTTGGGGTCCGTTTTGACTAATCTTTTCCCCAAGGTTGCAACCGCCCCCAACTTTGTTCGCTTGATTTGACTACCTTCGGCTTTCAGTTTCGACGATAACAATGGGGGCGACAATCTCTAAGCCCAATTTGAAAAGTTGATCCAGGGAGCTGACAGCCATTTTGTCTAATTGAGCAACTCAAAGAGACACTGTGAGAGATAAATCCATAAGTATGTATGTATTTTCTCTTCCCAATTACATTCCCTCTTGGAACGGAAGGTTCAATGTAGTCATGTCTGATCTAAGCAGTGACACCTTGAGTGGCATTCTCAGCCAACATTCAATGACCCCAAACCAGTCGTCCAATCACAATCTCCATTCTCAATATTCTACTTGGCGAAATTTTGGCGTGATGCCGACCTTCTGACACCCTTTTCGTCCGACTCGGTGATTGGCTGGGCTGTCAAAAAACTTCGTTATGCGAACTAAACATCTCTCGACGACCGTGCCCTACAGGGTCATTGATGTAACCCAAGAAATTTGTTTACTTGGCGTGAGGCAGAATCGGTCGCTGACATGCATCGTGCACCAACCTGTCTCGCCGTGAGTTTACAATTCGCGTTGCTAATTTAGTGCAGCAAAGAGAGATTCGGAGTCCGCCTGTAGATTAATTCGTGTATGGGGCCAATTTAGAGAGAAATCGCATAAATGGAGATGGTATTCTCAGTCAATAGAAGATGAAAATCATTCCAAAGCAGACCGTTTCGCAATGGCGTGCTTTTTCTGGGTGCTTCTTTTAGCTCTACTCTCTGTGATTCCCTTACTGAATGGATTCGCACAAGCCACTCCACATGGGCTTTCCTTCAAATCTCGGCGTGATGATTCAGTGGATTTCGACGTATCCGTGTTAGCTTCGCTTGGTGACTCGTTTGCTTCAGGCCCGAGTGCTGGAGATGAGTATGACGACTCGCCGTGCCGCCGTTTTACCGAGGCAGCTGGCCCTCAGCTCGCACGTTCCGGCGAAATAAAAGGTCCCAAACCGATCGACTTCAACTTTATCGCATGCTCGGGGGCAAGGTCCAAGCATATATATGAAGATCCAGGAGCAAGATCGAGTTCGGGTGGGGGAGGCAAAGAGAAATCAAAGCGTTCCCAAGCCAACCAGCTCGCAGATTCGAAGAAAGGCTTCGACATGATAACATTGAGCATTGGAGGGAATGATGCAAACTTCGTCGATGTATTGGACAGAGTGAGTTTTGACCCCTCCACAAGCTCCGTGGAAGAAAAACGCTGATTTTGCAGTGCGTGTACCGCTTCAAAGACGTTAAGGGATGTGCTGGTTGCACGCCAAGTGTAACTCATAACGACTGCTCTGATGACTGCTCCGCCGCATTGGAGGAGCTGGACGGACGTCTAGACAACGAAAACTTTATTCCTGGCCTCACACGCTCCATTCAGGCCATTTTCAATGCCGCACCCAAGGCTCAACTTTTCATGACCGGCTACCCGGCTTTTTGGAATGCAGAAACGGATGCGTGTGATAAAGTCAGCTTTAAGTTCGGCTGCATCAATAATTCCGTCCTACCACTGATTAGAGAGCGCCGTCGACGCATGAACGATCTGACTAGGAAGTTAAACGGGATAATCAAAAGGGTTGTTACTGCAACAAACCCGACAGGCGGAGGCTCTATTCACTTCGTCGATGTGGATCCATACTTTGACGGACATCGGTTTTGTGAAGAAGGTGTTGACGAGCCCAGCTATCGTAATTCGGATATCTGGTTCTACCCCTTTGAGTATTCAACTGGGGGAACTTTAAACATCTCTGCTTCACTAACTCACGAAGCAAATTCAGACCAATGCTCTTCAATTTGGGATGACGATGGAGATGCCGGAGATTATTTCAACTGTCTGCTGGAGATTGGTATGGCAGCCGATGGTATTACTATCGATCTCGGCTCAATGCCGAATAATGTCGCTGGCGATGACGACTTGGGGGATCTAACTGTAGAGCGTGTGAGCAGTGGGTCAGGTTCACTCCCCGCGTTCTTAGCACGGATTTTCCACCCCACGGTTAAGGGGATGACGGCATACAAGCAGGCTCTTCTTGGCGTATACCATGGGTCTGTTACACCGCCGCTGGAACCAGCTGTTACACCGCCGCGGGAACCATCATCTGCCACAAAAACTGCAGCTGGTACGCCACCGCTGGAACCTTCATCTGCCACAAAAACTGCAGCTGGTACGCCGCCGCTGGAATCTTCATCTGCTACAAAAACTGTACCTGATATGCCGCCATTGCCAACATCACCGCTGGAAGCATCTTCAGTTACAAGCAAATTAGCTAATATGCCGTCACTGGAAACGTCGTATGTACAAATGTAGTAGGACAGAACTATGTCTCCGCCTTCCGGTATGGCGGCCTTATCATGATTTTTTCAGTATAGTCAAGCGACTAGGATCCTGAGATGAGCACAGGTGGCCATGAGACCTTGGAGTGTCATCGTCGCATCCGAGTCCCTATTCTATACCTTGAGCTACAAAGATCCCCTTACTTCTTCGCCTAGTTATAGCATTGTTTTGACGTAAGCAAAATCCGGAGATTCGGATATGCATATCTGCATGAAATATATGAGATATGGCGTTAACGAAACGCGTGCACTTCTAGGGTGGGACAAGGCTTATCGGCTTCATAGTAAAATGCCACCGAAGGAAGATAAGCCGCACCTCACCGACCGAAATCAATCAGGCCGCCATAAACATGCTGTGATACACACGCGTATCGGACTCGCTCTGCCACTCCATGCCGGTCAATCAACCATCACCGATAGCGAGTGAATTTTCCCTGTGTAAAGTTGTAACCAAGTTTAAACGGGTAAGTCGAGTTTGTTCCGGAGAGCAGCACACTGTGAGTATAGATTCTACCATGGAGATTTTGGTCAAAAAGCAAATCCCCGTAGCTCGTCTCAACAATCTAGGACGGGTAGGAGAGGCTACGAATATCCAGAGATATTTGCAGCATTCAGGAAATTCCTCAGGTGCCACCGGCCGACCTTGGTTGGCGCGTCCAGGGCCGGTGAGCACGGCAACATCTCGCTCGGCCTGGAAGCGCAGCCCCGCGGTATCCTCGGGCCTCCGGTGGGGCCATCCCTTCACCCGCCCCGCATTCCGTGAATCCATTCCCGATGAATCAACCATCTCAATGCCCAGTGATGGTCCCTGCCAACACACCGCAGAAATTCCGACTTGAACGCATGGAAATATATACAGCGAGCCAATGCGAAATGATATAGAGCTGTTAACGATACGATATCGGCACTGTTTTCCCATATCGTCAATCGGCATCGTCAACTTCGAAGTCTGCCGATATCGTATCGGCAATCGCGATCGACAGTTTAAGAAATTGTCGATACGATATCGGCAAATTATATTATCGTCGGCGATATATCGCCACCGGTAATTGGACAATAAGAGAATATTTCCTGGTCCTAGATATAGAAGACTTTGCTACAAAGAGAATGTTAGCTTAGATACTCGTTAATTAGGGCAATTCGCTCCCGTTACGTAGTCCTACGTCGTGTTGTTGCCGTGCTATGTGGCTGGATATTTATATATTTTACGTTGCTCTGTCGTCATATCAACTAACTCTGTACTTGCAAAGTATATATCTAATCCTTTGTAAGTTGCTTCCATCCCTCTGCGCATACATATACATATATATGTCTATGTTATAGGCTTCTCCGTCCCAGCATACCATCATATTACCTGTTCTATTCTATGGCTACGCTTTGCTTCTTCCATTATGCTATATGGCAGATTATCCAGAGGTCATAAGGGTTCAATCCTATTTTATGGTTCAACTCTATTTAGACGCGACGCGTCTGAAAGACTGGGACGCGTACCTCGACCTCTTCTTGGTTGACAGTGACCTGCTCTTCCAGACACTAACCAGCTCCATACATGACTCTTCAACCCTGGTTCTACTGAACCACTGGGCCCACATCAACAGCGAGCTGCGATCAGCAAGTCGTATTCATCCGCACTGCACCAGTGGGCTGGTGTATCCAACACAAAATGCGTACGCGGCAGAAACGCCTCAACTACCGAGTTCTGAATGATGAGAGCGATGACGAGTCTTTGCCTGAGGATCAAATTGACCAATCAAGCGAATCAAGCGAGCCACCGAGCAATCTCCCACGTACTCTCCCAACCTGTCAAAAAGATGTGGTAATCCTCACCAACATACCAGATTGTGAGCTCCTACCTTCCGAGTCTGTATCACAAGTGCTAGTATCGCAAGAGAGCTCAACAGATGCTGGTACTTCAATCACAAGCCACATATCCTCTCAATGGTGCAAACGACCAGCGCCGGCTACAGAGTGGATCTGGGGGTACTTCGAGAGTACAGCCGTTGATTGTCCATGGGTTATCAAGAGGACCAACAAGAGGAGGCTGGTCGACCGAGAGATTTGCTGCATGCATGTAGATGAGAAAACGGGAACACGCTGTGACTGGCATACGTCAGATTCCCAGCGGCAAAATACAACCAGCAACATGAAAACCCACTTGGTAAAGCATGGCATTTACTGTCCGACCTCCAGTATACAGCCAGCGAAGAAGGGACCAGACATTCGGAGTTTTATGGGTGGTAAACAGAGTCTCACCCATCAAGAGGTCTTGGAAAGGAATACCATTCGCTGGATTGTGACTGATATGAAAGCTTTCGCCACTGTTGAGTCTCCAGAGTTCCAACAAATGTTCCGAGACATTCCTGGGATTGAGCCTCCTTTCACTTCTCACCACACCTTGCGGGATCGGATTATGCAAGAGTTCGCCATACAGCGCACTAACCTGAAGACTGAGCTGACTTTGGCTTGCAAAACCATTGCCTTATCACTGGATATCTGGACAAGCCAGAACCATCTTCCTATCTTAGGGATAATTGGTCATTGGCTGACTGACGAATTTGAGTACCGCGAGAAATTACTCGAGTTCGCCGAACTCCAGGGCATTCATAGTGGCGAAAATCTGGCAATTGCAGTGGAAAATATGCTTATCGAGTTGAGTCTCGAGGACAAGCTCATTTCCATTACAGGCGACAACGCCAGTAACAATGAGGCCATGGCCTCGGAGTTATACTTCTCCCTTTCCGACCGACCTAGGGTGGAAGACGCAATGCAAGCACCACTTTATCGAGGTCTTGACAGCTACATCCGCTGCCTGGCTCATGTCCTCAATCTGATTGCGAAAGATATCCTCCGTAACCTGGGGTCAGGGACGATGGAACAAGCGCAAGTTGCCTGTGACCGTTTACAGACTGGTGACTCGATCACCGATCAGTCAGCTATAGGGAGATTACGGGTCTTCGCTCTTTGGATTAACCGAAGTCCTCAGCGCCGACAGAAATGGAAGGAGATTTGCAGACTCAACAATCTTCCAGACAAGTTCGTTGCATACGATGTGACGACATGATGGAACTCAACATTTCGCATGATCGACGATGGCTTGAAGTCAAGGCAACAAGTCAACAAGTTCCTAACCCTTCAGGAGGAACTCCCGCCGTTCACTCTCCAAGATTGGTCACGACTGGAGCAGATTCACACAGTACTCCACAAGTTCAATGAGCTTACTTTGTTCATTTCGAAACGCAATCCACAAATCAGCCTCGCAGTCCCAATTTACTATGAGCTACACGAATTGCTTGATGACGTGATGGAGGGCAATGGTGACTTCACAACACTGGATCGGGATATCATAGCTGCAGTGAAAGAAGGAATGAAGAAATACGAAAAGTACTATTCTATTATGGATGACTGTGATACCTATTACCCTGCCCTTGTCTTGGATCCCCGAGTCAAAGGCGAAATGGTCTTACGGGAACTTCAAGATAGCAATGCCGGGACAATGATTCTGGAGACGATCCGCACCAATCTACATCAGGTCTACGCGGCTGGTAAACCGGAGCATGATGCCGCTGCATCAAGATCGTCTTCCTTGCAGCATAGTGATGTGGAGTCTAGAATGCTGAAGAAGTTGCAGGCGCGAGACCCACCGCTCTCAGATATTGATAAGTACTTTGACACCCCTCCGATCAGCGTCGCAGATACTACCGGCCAGAACTGGCTCTGCAATTGGTGGAAGATGCACAAGGGCGAGTATCCGCGGATTGCAGCAGCAGCCAGGGACTATCTAGCGATTCCAGCCTCTGAAGTTGCTGTTGAGAGAGTGTTTAGTACAGCGAGGGATGTGCTAGGCATCCCGAGATATTCTTTGAATGGGGATACCATTAGAATGCTGATGTTGAGTTGCGATGGGTATAAGTGGTAGAGGCCAGGGGTGGAGGTTGGTTAAATTAATATTCCGGTTCTGCATTCATAAACTGTCAAATAAAATTGCGTTCGCTCTTTAGATGATTCTAAAAGAGAATTGTGCCGATGCCGATACGATATTACGATATCGTGAGTGGCGATATCGTCAAGTTTGAAGCCTACCGATATCGTACCGGCAATCGGCATCGGCAAATTCAAAAGCAGCCGATATCGTATCGCCTGTCGATATCGTATCGTCAATATCGGTATATCGGCAATATCGTCAACAGCCCTAGTGGTGAGTGAAGGTTGAGGGTGAGAGCTGGTGATAACGGGGCCGGACCAGTGGGTCCCTCTGTTGATGTGCAGTGCGGCGAGATTGCCGAGCCATATGCTGTATCTGTTAGCACCGTCTACAGCCATAAGGTATTGCCGATATGTGCAATATATATATTCCCAGACCCGCACTGTTGCACACATTGTTGGCGGTAAAATTGAAAACATTCCGCCAGAGTATCAGCGATAAAAAGCCGGGCCCTCTGATATTTTTCAAGTATCATTTTGTGTCGGCATGATCAGATGAAAGCCACTTGTGGGGCTGAAAACGCTGATCTAGCTGGATACTTGCTCGGAAGAACGTGTGTACGATATTCTGCCTAGATGATGGATATAGTTAAGCAGAAGTCTCGCTGGCAGCCTTCTCCCTGCGTGGTCTAGTGGTACTTTCACAATTGCTTTCAGTAACGGCGCGGGTTCGATTTCCGCAGGGTACATTCACTTGAATTTGAGTCAGAACGACGGCATTCGCTCATGCGGTCCGCCCAAAACCATAGCTCGCTTTGTATTTTTTCGAAGATATTTTCGGAGTATTCACTTTGAGGATGAACTGTCAGGATGAGGAATCGATGTACTGGCTAGTACTGAACATGTCCATTAGAATCAGATGATTGATTGATCAGTTGATTGAAGGTGTTGAGATCGGTTGAGCGATCTCAGGGGTTTCTATCCTCGAACTATGGCGTGTCATGACACCATACTAGAAGGAAATTAGGTGAACGATGAATAAGCCTGTCCCGAAGGGTCCTAGTGGTATTTAACCACCTCTTCAGTTTGTCATGAACCTTTACTTTTTGCTCTGGTGAAGCCACTTTTGCAGAGTTGATTGGACATGTCAGCCAAAGTCAGCAACCGGCAGTATTGAAATTGATGGTAATCGAGGACCTGGGTGCACTGGCGCGTCGCGTAGAGCACACGTGCCACGCCCACACTGAGAGTAACATCAGCGGCTACGTTCGAAGTTGTTGTAGTTCAGAGTTATTAATTATCTTATCATTCTAGTGGGAAACATGAGGCTATATATACAGCGAGAAGATCAAGTTGATTGGAAATCAACTTGGTTCTTCGTATACATACTTCGGGATTAATTCCGATGGTTTGGCTTGGTTCCTGATCTGCACCAGCCTCATATCACAACAGAAGTCAACAAGCACGACTTCTCCACCATGTATCACAAACCGACCTGGCATCTTTCGAATAGCATTTGGGCTATTGAGACTGTAGCGGCCGTCGACTGGCTGTACTTGCGAGGCTGCTTCTGCTAGCGAGTCCGTGCTCCTCGGTGGTGACATCAAGGAGGCACTCGGTCGGCTTGCAGCTGCATTGAGCATAGTATCGGGGGAAAATAGCCAACTTCATTATAGCGACTTGACAACATGGTTAGTTGGCCTCCAAACTATGTTAGTGATAGATTCGTACTCGCCAGATTCGTTCATGAAATAGGTCGCCGGGGCAGCTTTGAATCGCCGTCTGCATTGGGACACGGCCAAAGCAATTTGCCATTGGATACACTCGATCTAAAACTAATTATCAGCCGCTGGCGCAAGAAGGGTGTTCGCAACTTACCTTGCTCGCGGCCTAGACGGGATCCCCTTATACCAACCACAATACATTATTCCGATCGAACTCGTGGGAACGGCCAAACCAGGGCTGTCTTTCACTGCCGCTCCATGTCAGCACGATTCCTGGTGACTGAGGGTGGCACAGACCTGCCATCAATGAAGTCTGGCATCGAGCATAGGCAAACCAACGACGAGGTGGCAGGCGCGTCAGATCGACCACACGGGCACGAGGGCCCGGGGTCACCACCGCGGGGAGTGGATGCGGGTCATATCTCATAATGCCTAGCTGTTTCGTCTGTGCTGTTCGTGCACCAGGCAAATCTTCAACCATGCTAGGGCCTAGTGCCACTGGAGGAGAGATTCATGCTATTTTGGCTAGGGAAAACTAGGAACTGACCTGAAACGACTGCTCTCGCAGTGAGAGATCTGGGATAGATCCAGTGCTGCGGCCCGGCTTGTGGCTTGCTCAGCTGCGACCGGGCCCTGACAGAGCTATCCCCCAGACTGTGGCCGGCAATTTGATGCATCATTGGCTGGCTATGCTTTTATAAAAACCGTGGTCTCTCTCGGTGGTCATCGATGCTAGACTTCTCTTTGCTGTCGCCGGGGCTGCGATGGCTAGCTCAGTCTAGCATGGGACTGGGTCATGGCTACCGAGAAGCCTTCGGATCGGACATGGGGCAGGAGGTCCGTAGCCGTCAGAATATGGCGAATTACTAAGACATTGACTGTCAACCTTTGTCCAGACAGGGTAATACCGAAGAGACGAATGAAAACACTTTGAAATTTTACCGTATGGCTAAGCAGAGGGCACTAAGTGGGCATCAGGCCTTTCTGAATTGGGCCCACTAAACGCGCCAGGCGAAGTGGCCGTGTCAACCACGTCTTCAGAAACAACAAAGACGCAAGCGTAGTGAGATTCAGTGGCCTGGCACATCAGGTTGTTGCAGCTGGTTTAGTTTCGAGGACGAGAGGGGAACATAGCTCTGTCAGGTCGAGGGTAATATTGACGCGCGCCCTATGAAGAAAAAGAATAATCAGCGATATTTTCTGAGGAACAGAGAGCCACGAACGGATATCATTCGTGCGGAGATTGAAATGCAGTACCGGGTGTTGGGAATGGGTAGGGGCAAAGCACTAGCGGGACTTACAAGACATTGAGCGACTCGCGATAGGAAGTTTTCCATCCTATAAAGAGGGTTGTCAGCACATCATATCTGCCTTGAAAATTGCTGCAGTCTTTGAACTTACGTTGTCAGTTATTGCTGTCCATTTCAGGGGACTGTATAAAGGGTGGCACCTAATTATCTTCAATCATTAGCAGGTAGCTTATGAAGGCAACTTGTAACTCACCGTGCTCGCAGCTTGGACCATTCCAGATCCTGATCCTGAAAGGTTCGTTCAATGGCTTCTCAGAAGAATAGCGGAGGCGGGGCTGATATCGAGCATTTTCCATGTTAGCATGATTCCAAATGACTAGGCAGCTACACTTGCTGTTCGAAGACCTCTTGCGTCGAGAAAAGCCAGGCTAGTGCCATGCAACAAGTCAGTCAATTTCGTTGCACGATTTCGAAGTCAACATACCAAATAGTAGCCACGGAAACGAGAATTGATTGATTTCTTTTACCCGGAGTGACAAAGGAATGCTTGCGAACGACGGTTCTGCTGGTGACGAACCGGGTATTTATAGCAATTCAGCCAGGCATTCAGCCTGCGTCAATGAGATTATCATTATAAATTGTGAGGGCTCAAACTAAAACTACTCTTCAATGATAACTGTCTCAACATTTCATTGATTCAAAGCAGCTCTCAGAGACATTGCATTTTGTTCCTGGTGATCAAGAACATGAAAAATATTTTCTGGCTGTTGGCATTTTTTCAACAGTCATGAGGATGCCGCAGAAAAGAACCGACGACGGTTATCACCATTCACCACCGTGAGTCCGCCCTTTAGTGCGACGGGTGAGGTGACGAGGTCACGTCATTTCATTTCACTCACCAGTGATGAGCCCGTTACTCCATGCAACGAACACCTCATCAAGACAGGCAAACACCATGCCATATTGCGATCCTAGATCCCTACCAGCCAAACCGCAGGATTCTTCATTGCCTAACTCGTATATCGGAGAAAACCCATTACACCTACACAATATCAAGCAGGCACAAACTATGGTGCAGCGTGGGATTGATTCGCACAGCCCACATCTCGCGAAAGAGCTCCTTGTATAGTTAGTGAGTCACTAGATCGATTATGCTTTCGCAGAACAATTCTTTCTGCTATCGACCTCGTCTTTGCGTATAGCAATACTTGTTGTAGTTCAGAGGTATTAATTCCGATGGTTCGGCTTGGTTCCTGATCTGCACCAGCCTCATATCACAACAATACTTACATCGATCTCCTGGGAACTAAGTGGACACGGGAAGATGGTTGCTACTACAAGGAAACATCAGCCAATTAGTGTCACCAAAGGCCCACATGCGCATAAGTCTTCAATGAAATGATTGGTTGATAATTGGCCTTGGCTCCCAGGAGCCTGTGGGTCGTAAATATTGGTGCGATCATTGGTTACTACTGATAGAATGATATCTACCAAGGAATAATGAGCCAATCGGTGCCATGAATGATCCACATGTACCACAAAGCCTCAGTAGAAATGATTGGTCCAAATTTGGCTATGAACTCCTTGGAGCCTGAACCTACCATTATACACCTACCATAATTGGCTAGCCCGTCAGCATTACCCACATCGAATTCCCGGGAACTAAGTGGATATGTGAATTTGGGTACTGCTGCAAAATATAAGCTAGTCAGAGCCATGAATGCCTATAGACGCACAAGGCCTGGGTGAAATAATGGCTAATATCTCACCCTGACTTCCGGGAGCCTGTGGTCCTCGATATACATGCTGTCCTTGGATGCTATGGATACTAGTCATATATGCCAAGAAATTATGGGCCAATCGGTGCTGTGAATGACTCGAATGCACCAAACCCTTTAGTCTGCTACGTGGAGAAGACTGCTCGGATGAGCAATTTGACTAAATAGAATAGATTTCTGTTGTTTAGGGGTATGAGTCGTCTTATTAGTTCTCGAGGGAAATATGAGGCTATATATACAAGATGGAGCCAAGTTGATTGTAAATCAAATTGATTGTCTGTATAGACATCTCGGAGCTAATTCCGATTGTGCGGCTTGCTTTCTGATTTGCACCGGCCTCATATCATAACAAGCCACATTGCAACCCTGTTTATCAACCAGCCCAACCACAGAATTAGTCATGTTCATTCGAATTTTCCTATCTACCTCAGAATATCATAGTAAGTATATCGGACCTATCTAAAAGAGGTCAGGCTGATACAGGCTATGATACAGCGTTGTATGTAGTGATCTGTACAGCCTCATCTCACAATACAGTCCCTTGTTCTCCCGCCTGATCTTACTGTATCGATCTTCATTTCTTACGCTTCTTGAAGTTTTGTGGATTGACAGATGGCTTCAGCACAAGAGCTATAGAATTACTGCTGTGCTCGACCGTGACATTGTAATCATCTGAAGTTATAAACATCCCCTGTGTCAAGCTAAAGACAGGGAATGGAGCTAAACGGGCTGGCATTGTAGGATCGCAGCTCTGCACGGATTCTTTTTCACCAGGCCCCTTAATATACAATCATTCTTTTGTGGACTCATTTCTTGGGTTATCCGCACGCCGATTTTGGCCCAGTCTGCACAGTCATAAAAAGGTTTTCACTTTCGTGGTGGGCTTTGCCCACGCTTGTAGGTCTCATTCGGAGTACGTCGCCCGGTAGCCAGACCCATAGCTTTCGTGATATAAGTGGCATTTTATGAGCAGGTACGGGGTATCAGGAACTCCCTCGACAGGCCCTAGTAACCCTCCGCTCCCGAACTCTTCATCCGGGATATCTGTACGGTCTATTGTCCTGTAGGCAGATCAAAATAATATTGCAAGTACAAAAGATGTCACGTTTTGCAACTGGTAGATCCATGCAGGATGAATAAGCCACTCCAAATCAGTAGAGCTAATGGTCGCCATTTCGATCGGCCACGGATTTGTTATGTTTTTTGACTTCCTTCGAATCGGATTTAGGATCCAATTCGCCACTTTCGGTGTTGGGTCCTTCCCGGTATATTTTGAGACTGTCGTATTTATGGCTTTCTCCTTTCGCTTCGGAGGTTGCAGGAACCGACTTTGGGATTTCTAAAACAGACATGTCGTTGTCAGTTTTACTAATCCACTATACAGGTATATCCAGAGTGACGTCACACCCACTTTCTTTGTAGTCTGCGTTCTTTCTGCTCACGTAAATGTATGCCTGAGAAGGCTTTTGCCTTCCCATCTTCGGGGTATAACAGGAGCCCTTATCTGCGGATAGCGTAACCTTGTTTCGAGCTAACGCCATGATGCGTAGGTGGTAAAGTTGATGATGGAACATGCCTGCGTAAGTTTCTTGATAGCAACTCGTCGAATATTCTGTATCATAGAAATATTGAATAAATATTGAAGAGCCAGCTGCTGAAAATGCACGGGCACTACCCATTAAAAGATATTGTCAGGATGGGGAAAGCTCGTTGCTTATTGCCCCCACCATGTAGCTAGCTAACCATGTTTTCGGGCCTTTGACAATCTGGATAGCGACTCATACTCCAAGAAGAAGTTCCCATCAATGGAACACAATCCTTAAGGTTTCGATTTACGCCACGTGATCCTGACGCTATTGCCCCCATTTTCAACGAAATGAGTCACAGGCGGTGGCATGACATCATGCCGGGCAAAGTATTAGGTGAGAAAGCACCTTTCTATAAACAAAGCAATATGCCACCCGTAACGAATCCGTTCTACAACTCTTTCTGCAATATGCCAGGCGAAAATGAAGCGCACACAGATTTTAAAGTAAGCTTTCTGACAAATTTGTGAGTTACAGGCTTCAGTTAATTATCGAAGCCACCCTTCGACAGAAACGCCCTGGCAGTTCGGCGCTACGGCGTTGTTCCTCTCCGAGAGAAGCTATTTTCCGAAGGATCAAAGGTTGAGTTCGGAGTCTAAACAGCTTTCTTGAGTTGGAAGGCTAATATTTCGCAGCACCGTACATACTTTGACTCTGCCGAATTTGTTCTAAAATCTGCACATAACCCATCCGAGATCTCCGAAAGGAACACTGGAACCGAGCGCCCGCAACACGCTAGCATCTCTCAGCCATTTTGCGCCGTGCCTGGCACCAGTAATGTTTGTAAGACGGCGAATAATGGATTTCAGAATACCAGTCACGAATATCAGAATTACCAGAGTCCTCTCCATGAAAACTAGGAGGCCGACTGCAAAAAGACGAATTAGGGTTGGCTGTAAAATGGTAACTGATTTAACATCTGAGAAATAAGATCTAAATCCCAACTCGAGCGAGATACCATAGGAATGGAAATGTTGAGATACGAACGTCAAAAGATCTTTCGTAGAGAGACAAACTCTAGATGTAAAATCATAATAACAAAATAAAGGAGTAATCAGTACTCAAGGCCCACATCCACGTCCGTGCCGAGAGTATCACTGGCGATCTCTTCATAATCCTTTTCCAGAGCAGCCAAGTCCTCGCGAGCCTCGGAGAACTCTCCTTCCTCCATGCCCTCACCTACGTACCAGTGGACAAAAGCACGTTTGGAAAACATGAGGTCAAATTTGTAGTCAAGGCGATGCCATGCCGCGGCGATGGCGGTGGAGTTGGAGAGCATGGTAACCGAGCGGTCGACAGAAGCAAGCTCGCTCTCAGGGACGTTCATGGGCTTTTGGTTGTTAATTCCCAGTTTGAAACCGGTTGGACACCACTCAACCAAGTTGAAAGAGGCCTTGGCCTTAATGTGAGCCATAGCTTGGGTACAATCGTGAGGCACGACATCACCTCGGTACAGAAGGGCAACAGCCATGTACTTGCCATTCTGTGGATCGCAAACAACCATCTGATTTTTAGATTCAAAGCCTGTCAAGTAATTAGTACGAAGCATAGTTGAATTAAATGGAGAGGAGGCACATACACTGTAAGGTTAAGTCTTTGACCTTGAAGCACTCGTGGCCACTGTGGGTGCTAGATATGACAGGAGCATACGAAATGAGGGGGTAGTGAATTCGCGGAAACGGCACAAGATTTGTCTGAAACTCATTTAAGTCGATATTCAAGGCACCATCGAAGCGCAAGCTGGAAGTAACAGAGCTAACGACTTGGGCCACAAGGCGGTTGAGATGGTCATACCCAGGGCGAGGAATGTCGAGGTTGCGCTTACAGATATCGTACACAGCTTCATTGTCAACGAGGAATGTGCAATCGGAGTTCTCAATAGTATCGTGTGCGGAGAGGACGGCATTGTAGGGTTCCACCACTGCAGTTGCCACACGCGGGGACGGGTAAACCACAAATTCTAGTTTGGTTTTCTTGGAATATTCGGCAGAAAGGTGCTCGAGCAAGAGTGCACCGAGACCAGAACCTGTTCCGCCGCCAAAGGAATGGAAGAGCAAAAATCCCTGAAGAGAGGTGCAATTATCTGGAAGGAAATTAGTCTACATATCAAAGCCACGAGAGGAAGGATTCCCATATACACACCAGCCACGCGGCGAATCCGGTTTACAACGCCCTCCATGAGCAGTTTGCCAACAGTATAATGACCTCGAGCATCTAATATACATTAGCTTTTTTTGGTATGCGTCTTCAAGTCTCGGGGGGTTGTACAATTATTAGCCGCATCCTCTTTTCCGCTTATCAGCTGATCAGGGTGGAACAGATGGCGGTAGGTACCAGTGCGTATCTCGTCAATGGGCTATAGCGCCGCAATTTTATCAGTCTGAATTTCATTTAAACTTGGTTGCCACTCTTTACGCACCGAAGGGTCAAGGTCGATAAAGATGGAGCGTGGGACGTATTTGCCATTGCCAGTCTCGGTGAAAAATGTCTCATACGAGCCGCTCTGGTCAAGTTCTTGGACATAATCAGGATTGATATGACCATCAGCCAGAAGATTATGCTCGAGCAGATAACTATATCATCAATCAATAGTGAGTCATTGCAGAATGAATTGCAAGAGAATCAAGACTTACAGCTCCCAGGCAGCATTGCCCAGTTGGGTACCAGCCTGGCCTATGTGAAGATGACAGATCTAATGAGTCAGTATATGGGTTTCCATTATTTCCTGTAGGGGTTTGTGTGGCCTTAGATACAATAATGGTATTGAGAGCCACACCGGAATTTTGGGCTGTCCGTATTTTGCGGTTCAAGGCTGGAAAAGAAACAGAAGAGGGCAACACCATTTACATGGAGAACCCTGAGCAGCAATAGGTTGGCACGTACTTCGCCGCGCATTCTGTATGGTCAAAATCCAAAAGGCTGTCGCGTACAGGCAGGCAGATGTGAAATGAAAGGGAGTCGACTTTTTGGGAAACTGAAGTCCAAAATAGGTTAAAGTGGGTCCAATTTGTTATGTTTCTCTCTCCCTTTCAGGTTTAGCGCTAAGGCGTAGTCAGCTGGTGTTGGAGCACGTGTATTTATGGTATTGTACTGTCATCCTGATACGGACTACTCATGCATTAATCTCATATCAATATAAGATATCCATATACGCAAGTACTGAGGGAACCAATTGTCATGATTTCTTGATTGATTGAACTTATCTTGAAAACTGCTGTTGAAGTGTCTCTAGACCTCAGGGGCTAAGGCTTTTCTGAAATGTGAGTATTCCCGAGTTTATCTGGTACATATACCACAAAACATGCGGGGAATTGGGTGGCCGCTGAATTATCCAATCTCTAGTGGTAAAGTACCACCCCCAGGAAGGACATGATGAACCCACCAGAGTAAGACCATGTCCCACTTTGGGTAGCCGCATGTCGACTTGACCTCCCTCGTATATTACTGGCCCTTCTCTGATTTAGAATGGGGACGAGCTGCGGTGGCCCGGTGAGAAGAAGCAAAGAATGATCAGCTGGATGTTCGGGTCGATGTACGTTCGCGAATCGGAAGTCGTGAAAAGGAGAGCTACTGATAGGTCAGTATGTTGATGCCCAGCTACTTCAAACTATGCTTACAAACGCCCTGAATAGGAATTCTGCATTTCCTGTCCCCCAAAATTCAGGCGAAAAGCCTATCTCTCTTTCTCGCTATCCCTGAATTTGATTCTCATGGCTCAATTTTTGAGCGAGCACAAAGGAATCAGACGGCTTGCCTCTATCGAAGATCTCATTGGTAAGTAATCTAGTAGCAAGAAACTCGTGATGCTAATCTAATTGCGTTGTTAGATTTCTCGGAAAGATTTCTTGTTACCCTTTGGTCTCCTCTAGCGAAGGACAGCCCCAAAGCCTCAACGGGGTTTCGGGTTTATCTGAAAAATATTCTTCGGAGATCTCATACAACATATCATACACTCATCGCGACGTTTTACTATCTAGCTCTCTTGCGGTTCACGATTAAGCAAAAGTTTCCCACTGAGCCGTTTCAAGTGCCCCAGGAGCTTCAGCCTCTACAGTGTCAGCGGCGGATGTTTCTCGCAGCTCTTATGCTGGGTTGGAAGTTCACTCAGGATTATGTGTACTCGACGCGACGCTGGGCATCCTTCTCGGGTCTAAGTGATAAAGAGCTAAATAGAAACGAAGGATTGTTTCTTTCCGTGATTGATTGGCGCCTCTTTATATCGCATGGAATGTTTTCTCACTGGAAGTCAGAGGTTCTGTACTATGTTCAGAATCCAGACGTTGCTTTATCCAAGTTTACCTTTGCTCAGTGAAAAAACTGTAAACTAATTATAACTACGTGGATGGAAATTTTGGAATATTGGCGTATGGTACTTCCTTTTTTTTATTACTGAAAGTGGTATATTTGGTGCTGAAAATTGACATTATCTTTCCATGAAATTCTGCCTTCGATCTACTGACCACTGATCACTATTCTGTGTCCTAAGAGGTAATTTCAACACGCCAAATCAAGTATAGGCAATTTTAACGACACATTACAGTTGTGGGAGTTTGTACCTAATAGTACTTTATTTCATATGCTTAAAAAATTGAGAACACCCTGAAGATAGAAACAAAAATACTGGATGCGTCTTCCTGCCTAATGGGGCCATGGTCCGTCTTGAATGTGCAGTTACATAACATTTTCAACCTCAATTTTTCATCAATGCAGTACAAGGAGCCAGCCAAACTCTTTCCCGAGGACCCAGGCTGCTAGAGCCAATGGTCGAAGAAATACGGTATGCTTTATCGACTACGGAGGAACGTTTAGTGTGAAAGAAGATCCATGATTCTTGTTGCCAGTGCTTCATGACTATAATATAGAATTTTATTGACACTTCCATTTGCTTTAGATACCATGGGCTTTATCAATGACATGCGAAAACATAAACCAGATAGAAAATGGCCACTAGAGTG